GGCTCTGGTTTGGGGGAGGCCAGTGCAGCTGCAGTGTGGACGGCGGGCTGGAGTGGATGGCAGGTGGGGGTGAACAGGAAGGGAGCCAGCTGGAAAGCTGGAGCAGAGAAGGCACGGGCAGCGGCAGGTGGCAGGGGTCTGGAGAAGGGGCTAAGCTCTCCCCTCCACTTAAAAAAAAAAAGGTTTTTTTTTAATGTTTATTTATTTTTGAGACAGAGAGAGAGAGAGCATGAGTGGGGGTGGAGGGGAGGGGCCGAGAGAGAGGGAGACACAGAACCTAAAGCAGGTTCCAGGCTCCGAGCCGTCAGCACAGAGCCCGACGCGGGGCTCGAACCCATGGACCGTGAGACCATGACCTGAGCTGAAGTCGGTCGCCCGACCGACCGAGCCCCCCAGGCGCCCCTCCACTTTTTACGACATAGGTTCACACCCTTCCACAAGACGAAAACAGCAGAGCGACGCTGTTTGTCTCCACCTGGATTCAGCAATCATTAACACGCTTCCCTGCCCCTTTGCCTTCTCTCAACAGGCAAAGGGCAAGACAGGCAGATTTCCTTGTCCTGAGCGTTTGAAAGTAGGTCGCTGCATGCTGCTGCCGTCCCCAGCCCCTCCCGCCGCCTCTCCTGGAGCGAGGGCACGTTCCTCCTTCACCACAGACCAGGGCCCTGCTGGAAACTCAACGGCATCTCCTGTCCAGTCTGTGCGCACACTTCCCCACTTAATTTCAGGGATAGCGTTTACAGTTGGGTTTTGTTTTGAAAGCCAAGGACGCATCAGGTTTCCAGGGTTGCGTTGGGTCACGACTCTCTGGTGTCCAAGAAAGACGCGGGAGGCGGAATTCGAAGGGCTTGATGAGTCACTGGAGGTCGGGGGTGGGGGCGCTGGGAGGGGTCCAGCGACGGCTGGGCTCTGGGTCGGGAGGCCGGTGGTGCAGCCCCCGAGGCGAGGAGTCCCAGAGTGGGAACAGATGTCGAGAGAGAGAGAGGAGTGGCCCGGCAGGCAGGTGGAAATGCAGGTGTGAGGTTCGGGAGACAGGTCGTGGTCCGGGGCAGACGGGGGCCTGCCTGAGGGTCCTGGGGAGGCCGCAACGAATGACCACAAACCGGGTGCCGGAAGACGGCTTCCAGACGCAGAAGTCCTGAATCAGAGTGTCCGTGGGGCCGCGCTCCCTGCAAGGGCTCCAGAGAAGAACCCTTCCTTGCCTCTTCCCGCCCCTGGTGGCTTTTGACAAATCTAGGGGTCCCCTGCTCGTAGCTGCGTCCCTCCAGTCTCGGCCTCTGGAGGGGCACGTGGCCTTCCTCCCTGTGTGTCGTCACTCGGTCCCCGTACAGGGACACCAGTCACTGGGTTTAGGGTGCACCCTACTCCAGGGTGACCTCGTCTTAACTAATTATATCTGTAAACACTCATTTCTAAATAGGCTTATAGCCTGAGGTCCCAGGTGGGTGTGAACCGGGGGGGTGGGGGGAGCACTGCTCAACCTGTACAGGGGCCACCAGCATCTAGAAGGTACCATTGCCCGGGGTTGGGGGGGAGGGTACAAAAGGACAGGAGAGGGGGCTCAGGCACTGAGCGGACACGGAGCACGTGGGGGTGAGCGGGCGGGCGAGCTGGGCCCGGCCTCCCGGCGGGCACTGACCTAGCATGTGTCCCAGGTCCCCAGGGTTGGAGAGGGCGTCCCCGCCCACCACTCACTTACCACCTTCACTCTCCGTCCCTGGGACAGGACCATGCGTGCGGAGCGTGGAGAGAGGAGCGATAATGAACCACAGTGCACCTGCCCCTCGGGGGACACTTGGCTGCAGGGACCTTGCCGAGATGTCGCCTGGGGGTGCCTCCCACTCCCATCGACTGCTTTTATCTCGGTTCCCCGGCCCCTGCCTTCGCTTGGCAAGACCTCTGTCCCCAAGGTCTCTCTTTGTCTTCTGCAACTCCCAGGCCCGGCCTGTGGGTAGGCAGCCCCCAGAGAGGGTCCGTGCTCCCGGCCCTGGGGGCCTAGGAGCCCCATGGACCCCTAATGTGCGTGGGGTGCTGTGTGCCCGCTTCGCTCGCTCGCCTGGACCGGCCCATCGAACCCTGTGGCGGACTGCTGCGGCCCTAAGAGTGCTGCGGGAGCGTGGCGGTGACCCCCGCGAGGCAGTTGAGGAAACCAAGGCACGGAGAGGCCGAGTCGCCCACGCACGTCGGCACGGGAGGTAGGGGAGGGAGGACCCAGATCCGGACCCCGTGCTCACAGAGCCGCAGACGGCGTGGCTTTGGACCCCGCCCCTTGTCCTCAGCCGACAGGCCGGAATGGCATGGGCCCGTGTCGGGGGCAGGGGGGCCTGGAGGCCGTCTTGCCCGGGGCCTGTCGTCTGGGGTCTGGCCTCGCCTGGGGCCGCGTGGACAGGACGGGGCCTGGGTGCTGGGGTCCGAAGGGCAGGTGCACACCTGAAGCCAAGTGCCTCCAGGCGTCAGAGTGGCTGCGGACGTCTGTCTGGATCTGGGACTTGGGCCCTGCCCGCCGGCCTCCTTGTCCTCTCCCCGCCTCCCGCCTCAGACGGGCTTTGTCCAGCGAAGGCCCTGGAGGAAGCACACGGGCCTGTCCCGTTCACCTGGGCCGCAGCAGCGAGGTTTTCTGGTCTGGTCTGGTTTGCTCAGTCTTTGGTAGACGGCTTCTTGATCTTTCTTCCATCCCCAGCAAGTTGCCGCATGGCCAGCGGGAGGGCTGCCTCCCACACTCCCCCGGGGCTGAGCTGGCAGCTGGGGCAGGGCGGAGCCCGCTGCCGGCCGTGGGAAAGGGGTTGGTAGGGAGGAGCCCCCTTCTAGCCCCCTTCCCCCTCTTCCGCAGCTCTTTGGGCTGGCTTGTCCCTCTGCCGGGACCTCCCGCCCCACTTCCTCAAGGCACCAACTCTTATCCTTTCTGTCCTGCCTTCGAAGTTGCTTCTTCCAGGAAGACCACCCTGCTTCCCACGGGCCTGCTATGGCGACTTCCCCTGTGCTCCTAGAAAACGCCCTACCCTCATCTCCCTCCCCTGCCTTCTGTCTCTGCCAACGGAATTTCGGCTCCTTGAGGGCTGAGGCCACGTGTCCTTGCCCACTTGGCGTCCTCCATACCTGGCCTCACAGAACATCATGGGCTTACGAGAGCTGGGACGGGAATTGGCCTGTTCTCTCTCTCTCCTTCGGCTCTGGGGACCGAGCTCATGGAGCTCATCGCCTCACTGCCCCAGGCTCCTGGCTTCCACCCCCCGCGCCGGGCTCGCATCCAGCCAGTGATGGCGCAAAGCGCTCCTGTGTCAGACGGAGCAGAGGCAGGGGCAGGCTGGACGAAGGGGGGCTGTGTGGCAGGGCGACCTCCTGGGAGAGGAGGCTTCATGGTGCGGGGACTCAGTGACTGGGAGCTGCCGGTCGTGTAAAGGGCCTGCTCAGAGTGTTCTGGGCAAGGACAAGCAGCAAGTGCAAAGGCCCCGGGGCAGGAGCCAGTGTGGCAGGTTTGAGGGCCACAAAGGCCAGTAGGAGTGGAGCTGGGTGGGCTGTGGGTTTTATTCCCAGTGTGTCGGAAGCCAGGGAAGGACGTGCTGTGACTCAGCCGGCACTGCTGCGGGGAGGCTCTCTGGGCGCCAGGGTGGCTTGTAGAGCTGAGACGGAGCGGCAGGCCTTGGGGGACTCCCCGGGTCCCACACCTCCCCTGCCCCAGCCACCTTTGCCACCCTGCAGGTGCTGGCCATTGCCTGGGAATATTCGCGCAGGAGGAAAGCCGTCCTGTGGGGGAGGGGCGGGCGTGGGGGCAGCCATAGTCACCTTCCGGTTCTCAGAGTTGACATGACCCGGTGAGAAGTAGGTCAGGGGCAGAGAGAACCTGTTTTTCAGCCACCCACAGGGACGTAGATGTGGCTCAGTGAGCATTTTCGCCTTTAAGCAAAAGTGGCAAGGCCGCCCCTGTCTGAGGTCAAGGTGTTTACACAAAGGGCTAAGTCCCGATGTGAAAAAGCATTAGGTTATACGACAGAAAGGGTCAGTCATTCTTGTCTCTTACTAGAAAGGACCTGCCCTCCCCACGGGGGTCTCGCCCCGTCCCTGGGGGACCGACAAGGCACGCTCCACCCCTCCACTTGTGTGACAGGGTACCGTCACCTCCCCCCATGTGGCAGGTGAGGAAACTGAGGCCCAGAGAGCTTGGGAGACGTACCCAAGCCACAGGCCAGAACGTGCCAGGAAATGAACTCGGCACCTGACTCCAAGTCCTGTGCCCTTGAAAACAGTCGGTTACTAAGGAGTCGTTCATTCACACAAGAGAACAGAGGGGGGCGGGCAGGTGACGCGGGCGCCACACCTCCCGCTTCGGACAGAAGTGAGCCGCGCCAGGACCCGCCAGCCCTCCGGCTCCGACCCACGGCCGCTCGCCCCGCAGGTGACCCCGCGCCCCGATTTCACTCCCGCCTTCCCCCTTTCCGTGTTCCTCCCGCTTCTTGCCAGCTGCTTTCTGGTTTCACGGGACACAGGATACGAACACAGAGCGTTCATGTTTCCCGTGTGGGCACAGAAATACACGTGTATTACGTTGTATTCGTTTCTTCTCACCAACGGCCACAAACTGGACGGCTTAAAACAGCAGAAACACATTCTCTCACGTCTCTCTGAGGCCGGGGGCCCGAAATCCGGGTGTGGGCAGGGTCGGTGGTCTCCTGCGGGGCTGCCGGGGGGAGACGGTGTCCGGGCCCCGCTCCCGGCTTTCCGTGCTGGCCACAACCCCTGTGCTGCCGGCCGTGGCCACGGCCCTGGCCTCTGCCTCCGTCCTCACGCGGCCTTCTTCCCGGGGTGTCTGCGTTCTCGTCCCTTTTTATTTTATTTTATTTTATTTTATTTTATTTTATTTTTTTGAGACAGAGAGAGACAGAGCATGAACAGGGGAGGGGCAGAGAGAGAGGGAGACACAGAACCTGAAGCAGGCTCCAGGTTCCGAGCGGTCAGCCCAGAGCCCGACGCGGGGCTCGAACTCACGGACCGTGAGATCGTGACCTGGCTGAAGTCGGACGCCCAACCGACTGAGCCACCCAGGCGCCCCCTCGCCCTTTATAAAGGCACAGCCAAACCGTGTGGGGCGCGCCGGTCTCACCTTGACATCCCTAACGCGATTCCATCCGCAAAGCCCCGTATCCTAAAGAAGCGTGCATTCGCAGGGGTGGGGGCTTAGGGCACGGATGTATCTTTTAAGGGCCTCTGTTCACCCACTACAGAGAGGAATGCGCTCGAAATTTACTTAGTTGTTGGGGTGCTCCATCAAACAGTTTAGGGCATGTCCCTGGTGCCGCCTGTCCGCGGGGTGGGGGCCTCGTCTTGGGCTTCTAGGTACCCCAGCTGCTCAGTGCAGTGGAGGCGGAGGGATGGGGTTCAGGCTGCTGGGAGCCTGCTGGGGGTTAGGATGTGGACGGGCACGAAGGGGGGGGTGGCCGGTTCCGCCCGCATTGCCATCCACAGCACCCTCCGCCCTCAGACCAGCCTGGAGGGGCCCGTGCCGTTTACCGCTGCCGTCCATTCTCCTCGTATCCTGTCCTCGTCATGAAAGAAACAAGGTGGGTAGTGACTTGCTTAGGGCTTGTCTCCCCCGGGGATCCTGCCTGTTCTCTTCCTTCCCGCCTTGCAGGCCCTCAGAGGTCCCTGCGGACTGAATGCGCGAGGTCCGGCGTGGGTGACCTGGGCCCTTCTTAGCCCGGTCCTAAGGAGGCTGCATGGTGGGCCGGGTCACAGCAGGGCACCCCACCAGCCCAGGAGGAAGGGATTACTCCAGATGGCCTCGCTGGGCCCTCTCCTACAGCCGCAGAGAGCAGCAGGCAAGCCACGGTCACCGTCACGGGTCCTGCCCCCTTGACTGAGCGGCGACTGGTCCACAACTGAGCTCCCGCTCTGCGCTCGAGATCAAGACAGAGGGACAGACGGAGGGACTGACTGCCGCAGGGGCCCTGCGCACAGCTGGGGTTGAGGACCCTGCCCTGGGCCCCTCTTCCCACCTGCTACAGCCTTCTCTGTGCTCACACTTGGGAAAGGGACTTCGGCCGGCAGCGTGAAGGACCCTCCAACTCCGCAACCTTCCACGCTGGGGAAACTCCCGCAAATCCCCGAAAGATACCCCAAGTCCTCCTTCTGCCTCATCAAAAAGCCCGAGCCAGCGAGCGCGAAGAATTTGTATGAAGCTGGATGGGGTGGGGGGTGGGGGAGGGGAGGCAGCCCCCAGCCTGTGCATTCCCAGGACCCAGGCTGCCCCTTCTCAGGGAATCCGGTCTCGGAAATCCATTGGCACAGCGTTCCCGGCACACAAGCTCGGGGCTGTTTCTGTTCCGGTTGGAGCGGTCTCAGCTGGGGTTGGCTGGTCGATCGGGAGGACGCGGCCCTTGCTTCTTCCAGGAGCTCGGAAGCTCCTTCCCTGGGCCCTGTTCCCACACGCTGCTCCCCATGCCTCGTTCGGGCCTTCCCGGCTTCATCAGGACCCACGGCCGCCGCCGCCTTGCCTGGCCCAGGGGAAGCACAGAGGTGAGCATCTCCATCCAAATCAACCACCGCCTCCCGCCCCTCCCCCACCGTCCAAGAACAGGGACTCTTTCCCTTCCTGTGTTCTGGGTCCCAGCCAGCAGGTTCTGGGAATGTTCTGCAACAATCTCCAACAATCATTTCGTCATCCTGGGGCCGGGAGATGATGCACAAGTGGAGGGCAGTGGGCAAGGGCGAGATCCAAGGCAGGGGGCAGGGGAGGAGGGCGGCGTGGGGGGGGGGGGAAGGCACCCCCGTGGGACGGCTGGAGCAGGCTGCCGAGGCCCCATTCGTTGGAAGCAGATCTGCCTCACGCATGGGGAGGTCTTTCTTTTCACGTGGGATCTGACCCACGCACTTCCTTTGATCGAAAGTCACACGTCACATGAAAGCAGGAGCCTGGAATAAGGATCCGACGTGCGAGAATCTACGAAGCACAAGAAAGTCACAGATTCCTCCCTAAACTCGCTGTGAACGCACAGTTAGAGAAACACAACAGCCAGGAGTAAGTCACCTGCCAGCTAGGCTCAAAGGCGACTCTCCACGATGTTGTGTAAAGAAACGACACGTTCTCCAGGCGTGAAAGTGAAAAATACAATTTACTGATGAGGACTGGAGAATCTGCCCCCAGCTTGAGCGTTTCTAGATTCATTTTCACAAGTCTCTTGAGGCAGTAAACTGTATCCTGCAACCCCTCGAGTCCCAGCCTGGCCCGTCTGGTTTACGCGAGTCAAGCGTCGCGCCGTGAAAATGGAAAAATGGTTGGGCGGGAGGCGACACTGGACGTGGGGGAAGGTTATCAGGGTATCTGTGCTGTCCAAAGCCAAGGGCACTGCGGAGGCAGGCTGTCAGGGGCTGACTTGTCCCCCCCCCCCCCAAATTTCTGTGTTGGAGTCCTAACCTCCTGGACCTCAGAATGTGACTGTATTTGGAGTTTGGGTCTTTGAAGAGATGCTTTAAGGTCCTCTGGGTGGGTCCTGATCCAACATGACCGGGGTCCCACACCCTTGGTTCTAAATTCACTTGGCATCGGCAGTGAAGACCGACAACCACACTCTCCGAGACGAAGATCCAAAATGCGCGTTAGAGCTCTTAGCTTAACACGTGGATTCATCAGTTAATCGATCCCCAGTTCCCATCTGTCTGCCTCTCTCCGGCTTCTCCCCGGAAGCTCATTTCCTTTCCCACTTAATGGGAGAAGCAGGAGGCCGGAGAGGAGCTGTAAGCCCAACGGCAGCCTCACCTCCTCTTGACTTAGGCGATGGCCCGATGTGAGCCTGTCTCCAGAGCGCTCGCTGGCCAAAGCGCATTCTGTTTTCAAAGCAGATGTGGGTGGTCGGTTCATTCACCCCCTTCGGCGCCCAGACGCGGAGTTCTGACGTCTTGATCCACTGATGTATCTCCAGCGTCTGGGCTGCTCTTTCATTTGTCATCGATACTAGTCAAATCTTTAGGAGTGGGTGCAAAGCACCGTTAGGTTGGGAAAGAGACTCGGTGGCTTTCTCTCATCGTGATAGAAAATACCTAACGCGAAATTTACCGTCTCGGCCATTTTTAAGTGTGGAGCTCGGTGGCATTAAAGCACGTTCACACCGTCGCGTGGCCATCACCACCATCCGTCTCCAGAACGTTCCATCGCCCCAGGCTGACTGTCTGTCTCCGTGAGACCCTCACTCCCGTCCCTCCCCAGCCTCGGCGCCCGCCGTCCACTCCCTGTCTCTGTGAAGTCGACCGGTCCAGGGACCCCTCGTATGCGAAACTTCCCTTCGGTGACGGGCTTTTTTCACGCAGCCCGACGTCCTCCCGGCTCCCCCATGAGGTGGTGTTTTAACAACACAAGTATTTCATGTGCGTGACAAGGCACGGTAGCCCGCCGTGACTCTTTGAACGCTGCCGGATGCCAGCGAGTGTCACGGAGTGGATTCGAGTAACGTGCCGTTTAGGTCTCCCAGCAAGCCGACCGGCACGACATACGCCCTGAAATAACCAGTTGAGCACTGCAGCTGCTTCTTCCGTAGCAAACCACTCACAGGATCTGTTTGAAGCATACCGCGTGTGTAAACGCGTTCATATTTAACTCACGTGCAAGGACAACTCATCAGCGGCAGAGGCCGGGCCAAGAGCGGGCGCTTATGGTGTGAAGGCCCAGCGGCGAGCAACGGAGGTTGGTGCCGTTTGCGTGTGCCCCAAACGCCACTTCTCTCCAGCTCTGAGCTCTCAACCCTGCCCTTCAGTTCGCGTGGCAGCGTTTCCCATCCTTGCTTTGATCTGACGGGCCACTGGCCTCCGCGTGGCGATCAAGTTTAACTCCACAAGGAGAGCCATCATCTACCTTTCCCTTTTTCTGGATTCCTTGATCGGTCTTTCTGGCTCGTTGGGGTTGGGGAACACACGACCTTTCCGAGAGATTTTGGGAAGAAACCCCTGTCTGGAAACACGCTGGGCACTGTCTCAAGACGTCCTGTGGGCTCAAGACGGCTGTCACGGCACCCGGCCACACGTCCTCCAGGACAAGCTGCAAACGGGAAAGGGCGGTGGCCGGGCTCTCTCCCCGCACAGCTCTCTCGTTTGCCACAGAGGAAAGTTCCAGAAGACCCCACACGCGGTCCCCTACGTGGCACTGATGAGAACAGGCAGTGGACTGGGACCAATCCCGATCCCCCCCAGGGGGTTGGGCCAGGCCCAGATGAGACGACTTCCGCTAGCAATGACCTCCTGTACGTCTTTCCCGGCTCACTTCACCCTCACAGCCACCCTCTGAGGCAGCACTATCACCCTCGCTTCAGGAACGAGGAAACCGAGGCCCAGAGAGTGCAAGCAACTTGCCTGAGAGCACACAGCCATGGCAAAAAGAAGCCCCACCAGGGTTTGAAGCAGACCGCCCAGCTCCAGAGTCTACGTTTATAGCGACTGCGAGAAAGCACCGTTCACAGAGGGAAATGGTGACCCGGCAGGGAGCCCGCCCAGTGTGGGTCCGGGGCAGTCACGTCTCATTTCCTGTCGCGAGTCTCCGGAAGGCCCCGCGTGCTGGTTCGGGTGGCCGCCATCATCCCTGACTGCCAGATGAGGATACGAGGCTCAGTACGGGCTACGGGCCTCGCCCAAGGTCAAGGTAGAGGTGAGGGCTGGGCTCCAGCCAAGCCCTCGGAGACTTTGAGCTACCTCTCTGGGCCCTTCCCCTGGGCATTTTTACGATGGGCTCCGTCTGATCAACACAGTGAAGCTGTCAAGAGAAACAAACTGCAAGAAGCTTATGACTTGCTTTCAAAATGTACATCGTGGGGGAAGCCTCGAGATGCTCTAGGAGCCGGCGGCTCCCTGTGCCTGGCATCGTGCTGAGACAGAGTGGCCCATTTCAGACGAGGTGGCTGAGAGGCCCCCGGACCCTCAGCGGGCGTTGGGGTCAGTACCTCAGTGGTCTGGCGCTGGTCCAGGGGTCTTGTCCCCAGCTTTGGGGGTCCGGGGACACCTTTTGATGTAGCATCCAGAACGCTGGCTTTGGAGGCAGTCTCGGGTTCAAGACCAAGCTCTAGGCAAATTATAAACCGGAGAAGCAAGCTAACCTCTCGAGCCTCAGTGGCCTCATCGTAAAAGGATGTAGGATGCGCCCGTGAGGGTCGAGTGAGGCTCTGGGGGGACATGGGTCTCCACAGAAGGTTCTGCAACTGTGATTTCCCCATCTGCTCTCACAGGGGTGAGCACACATCCACTAACCTCCTGAGTGGCTCATCCACGGATCAAAAACTTCAGGGCTGGTTGACCGTGAGAAATGGAATTGCCACGGCAACCGGAACATTCTGGCTGACAGTCTCTCCTGCTTACCAACCTCTTGGCCTTCAGTTTCCTCATCTGCATAATGAGCAGGGCACAGGGACAGCCACGTGGGGGAATTACTTTAACAACTGGATGAGGGGTGTCTGGGTGGCTCAGTAGTTGAGGGTCCGACTCTTGATTTCAGGTCTGGACAGCGCAGAGCCTGCTTGGGATTCTCTCTTTCTCTCTCTGCCCCTCCCTCACTTGCGCATGTGCTCTCTCTCTCTCTCTCTCTCTCCCCCTCAAAATAAATAAATAAAAAGAACTAAATGAGCCAAACAAGTGAAACGGTTCTCTTTCTTTCTCTTCCTGTTCACTGATCACCACCTTAGCAGGAACACACGAGAAGCCCAAACTAGGTTGACTCTGATGACTGAAGTCACCAAGCCCAGGGCCCCTACCTCTCCCACAGGGACTGGATTACCTGGGCAGCACTGGAGACCCACCGATAGAATGCCTACTCTTTGGTGTTCCCTTCAAGCGACCACTCCTTGGTCCTAACAGTACAGTGACTGGATCAGGAACCGAAAGCCCCCAGTTCACTAATGGCTCCAGTTCCGAATCTGCTCTAAACTAACTGGGGGCCTGTGGGCAAACCCTTTTTGGCATCTCCGGGCTTTGGTTTCCTCCTCTTGAACAGGCGGTCGCATCTTCCGCCAACCACCCCCAGTTCAGAGCTTCCCAGAACCATATTGTCACCCCACCCTTCATTAGGCTGTTTTACATATTCTAGAAAAAATTTTAATGTTTATTTTTGAGAGACTGAGAGAGACAGGGCACTAGCGAGGGAGGGGCCAAGAGAGAGAGAGGGAGACACAGATCTGAAGCAGGCTCCAGGCTCTGAGCTGTCAGCCCAGAGCCCGATGTGGGACTCAAACCCACGAACTGTGAAATCATGACCTGAGCCGAAGTTGGATACTTAACTGACTGAGCCACCCAGGGCCCCGTTTTTCATACTCTAGAGAGACGGGGGACACTCTCAGACCTTAGAAGAACCCTTCTCTTGAGCTGTTTGCAGGTCTAGAAAGGAGAGGTGGCCTGGGTCATGCTCCAGGATGACAAAAACCACATCATCCAGAGAGCTGAGGCTGTGGTGGTTACACCTGCAAAAACACAACCCTGGGCACAGTGTGAACTATCTATCCCCTCCGCGCCTGTAGTACCGTACTTTCTTTATCGAGCCATCCACAGAATTGGAATGAAAACATTTTCCCCGTTCGTTGTTTTCCTGCCTGAACCTTACAAGGAAGCCACCCAATCTCCCAAATATTTCTGGGATAAATACTTTGTGAAAATAGTTTATAGTTGGGTGGTATAGATACATATAAAAGTCATTTTAACCTCCCCAAAGCCATTTGCCATGATTCATTCTTTTTTTTTTTTTTTTTTTTTTGAGAGAGAGCAAGGCAGAGGGGGGAGAGAGAGAGAGACAGAGAGAGAGAATCTTAAGTAGGCTCCATGCTTCGTGAGGAACTGGATTTGGGCCTTGATCCCACGACCCTGGGATCATGACCTGAGGTGAATTCAGGAGTCGGATGCTTCGCTGACTGAGCCACCCAGGCGCCCTGAAAGTGCAAAGATTTCATCAGTCTCTTTTTGGGGGCCATTGAAGTTGTTTACAATTTTCCTCTGACTGGTTTTGCCATCTGGGGGAGATGAATGAATGCATGCATATAAATGGTGAAATCTGGGATCTCACTTTCCTGGAGCCGTACCAATTGGGCTTCTCCCTTCTGTGCCTGGTAAACCACTCATCCTTCCAGATGCAGCTCTGATGTCACCTCCTTTGTGAAGCCCGTTCTGTGATGCCGGCTGAAGAGTTGGTTCTCCCGGACTGTGGGGTCCCGCGCACTCAGTTACATACTTGCAACATGACATTTGTAACAGACATTGTGATGGTCTGTTTCTCTTCTCCCCTCCAGGCTGCGAACTGGGGGAAGCAGTATTTTCAACAGCTCTGTGTTCCCCAAACCTGGACCGTGCCTGGCTCAGGGAGTTCTGCACCTGTTCATGAAATGAACATTCCACTCCGCTGAACTAAATATTGGCATCGTGTCGATTTCTCGGGAGACAGATACTTTGAGTGTGGTGCAAATACTGGCTGGATGAATTAAGCTGGTGCACTTGAGTAGAGCTGGAAGTTTCCCTCTGCTCCAGACCCTGGGTCAGGGGGTGCAAATTCGTATTTATGTGTAGTCAATGTTTGTTCAATGAGTGAATACATGAATGAAAGAAAGGTGTGGTTCCGGACCCAAGGAGATAAAGCCCATAGGAGGCAACGCCCATTCTTGGTGAGCTCACAACGGGAATCGAGGCATCTGCCTTAGAAGGGTTCACCGGCTCCCCATGCCAACTTCACTTACACTTGGGTTAGTTCAGGGGCTCCCGGCTGCCTCCCCACGGGCAGTCAGTAGCCGGTGGCGCCCGGCGGCGGCAATGCTCTGACATTTTGCCTTGTGAAGAGTTTGTGCTCCAGACGTCAAACTGTGAAGGGGGAGCATCTGCTTTAAATTGTTAAAGATGTATCTATCATCCTCTGCGTCTGCAAGATCTAGCACGGCACTTGGCTCGTAACAGGTGTTTTCAAAAGGTTAAGTGCAAAACGTGAACATGAATAAGGACAAGGGTGAGAATGACCACCCTTTGGCCTTGAGATAACAGCCGTCGGGCAGGTCTGTGTCGTTTTTCCATCCTGCAGATGAGGCGCTGAGTCCCAGCGGGCTCTCCTGAGTTGCCCAGGCCCACACTGCAGGTTGAAGCACGTGCTGGGAGTTGAACCAGCTGGGCCTGGCTCCAGAGCCTGCACTCCCCGCGCAGCGCCCAGGAGCCTCCGCATCCTGCGCGGCCCGCCTGGGCCTCCGCAGGTATAGCAGGTAAGCCTCGGAGAGGGGGCCCTACATAGAAACCGCGTGTCCTGGTGCGTCTGTCCCCAGGAGCCGCCGCCAGCAGGTGACTCGCGCCTGGGCGCGCCGTCCGGTAAGGTGTGTGGACGTGGCGTCTGGGAAGGGTCTGACGCAGAACCTGATGCACAGAGGACGCTCGGTAACGGCTTTCGGCGTCCCCGCGGCTGTAGGGGGTTACGTGGCGCAGGTGCCCTCGGGGAGCCGGATCTCCGCCCAGAGGTGGCTCCCGCGGGGGGAGCCCCCCTCCCAACCCGCTACCTGGGCAGGGGCGGGGCTCCGGCGGCACCCAGCCAATCGGCTCCCGGGAGGCCCGCCCCGCCCACCCGAGAGGGCGGCGCTTGCGCACTCGGCCTCCGCGGCTCTCCTCGCAGGGGGCGGGGCCGGCCTGCGGCGCTCGGCGCTGACGCCACGCCGACGCGCCCGACGTCGGGCACGTTGACGCCGGCGACGCGCAGCCGGGCCCGCTCCTCCTGCGCTCCGCC